TTAAGTATAAAGTTTAATAACCTGGTAATACTATTCTCGAAATTAATAAGCTCAGCTCAAATCAGAAGCAAGCACAGTGGTCTACGTATAACTACTGTCTGCATATATATCAAAATGTATAGTCGTCTGTTAATAAATATATATAACTTTTATCAACAAAAAAATCTTTTCATGTATGTTTCACGAGGTATCCCGACTGATTTCAAGCAATTTTCAGGGCTCATACTTACAATAAACAACAAATAACCTAACGAGTTTCGCTTAGGCTGTGTTTGCGTTACTTGTGTATTAATAATGTCTGGTTAAAAACTACCCAATATTGAATGTTCGTGAGCGAAACTATTTTAAACGATATATATGGACATATCGTAAATTAGCGTTACAATCAGATAATACTAGCTATTATTTATATCAGGTAAATGTTTAGCCAACAGCTTCTCAACGTAAACCAAAATGTTTATTTTTTTCCATAAACTTTCCACTATATCACGTCGCAATTAAAGTTGAAAATTGTATGTAGGGTTTTGATATTTTGCGGGCTATACCTATTGATTACAACTATAATGTCAAGGTAATAACAATTACAGTATCTAAACAGGATTTATAGCTTTTTGATTTGTAATATTTGTATGATTGTTTAACTTGGTCCTTTGGGGCAGATTTACGTTTTCCAAATGCGCCCCTTAGGACCAGGGGTGAGGTTAACATCTCAAGGTTATAGATTGCTTGTGTGGGCAGACTGTGGCGTGATTGAAATTCTATTAAAAGGAACATTAAAATTTATAAAATAGATGACGGAATTTTTTTAGAAGTACATAGCTTAGATTGGAAGAGTGATGTCGTTTGACAAAATTACTGATTAAAACAAGTAAGATTTTGATCGGGCATAGCTACCGTAACTCGTTCATATTATTTTTATGGTCCTTGCCCTTTTGCCCCAGACGTCCATGTATTTGCTAAATATGATAAAGTTTTAAACAAACATACCTACATACAGGCAATTAATTGCATGATTTATAACGTTACGCACATAGAATTGAAACTGCGTATTTCTTTAATAAGATCATCTTAATAATGTTTACTCGAACAATAAATTATAATTGGATATCTAATGAAAGGGTCTTTGATATAATTTTATAACTTAAGTTTCTATACAATGATGTATTAACATCTTACGTTTGCGTACTAAGAACATAATAGATGCTAATTGAATAAATTATGATGACGTCACACTCATTAAATGGTCTCTTCGGATTACATAATGCTGGAGGAAAATTACATGGTGTAGTTGAACGTTAAGTATGGAAGCTGTGGCGAAAAGAATTAATTGACATTGTCTTGTATATAAACTGACTGCGTTGTTCCAACTTAAGTGTATCATAGGTCTAAATGTCACGTCTAATAGTCATAATAATGGATTACATAAACTGTTATGTAATGTTACATTTTCCTATGTCATCATCGTCAATATTAACACCAAGACGTCCACTGCTGCGCATAAACTTCTCCTGTTTTCTTCGAGGGCTGAAAGAAGGAAAGGTTTGTTTGGCGGTTTGCTACAAGCTGGGCCGTGGTACCTTATTTCGATTGCATCATTCATCCCGTTCATTCCCGTTTGATGGGTTTTTGAGACGAGAGCGGGTTGCATAGACCTCTTCAGATGTGCCTATTCACTATGAGAAAATAATACGGTATTATGACCATTAATTTTAATTCAAGGTTCATTCTAAAAGGGAAAATTCTAAATAATAATGAAATAAGATATTGTATAGTCTAGTGATATGATTTACTAGGAAATGGTGGAACAAAACGTGTCGTAGATGATACCGTCCTTGCTACTAGAAGAGGTACATGATAGAAATGAGGGCAAAACCGTTTTAATGAATTATTCATGAATTTTACATTCCTTTACAAGTGAGTTAGTAATATAATAATATACTAATTTATTGAACGTGGATATTACTGATAGGTCTTAGCTTTGTTAATTGTTATAGATTTATAATTTTCCGTGCGGTGTGCGGTGCCTCAGTACAAGAATGCCATTAGACCACAACAGATGGGATCTACTAGCTCCGTTGTCTAGCCGGGATTGCAGGTGCAAGTAGCAGTAGCAGTAAATGTCTGATACATCTTCTTGCTCCACTCAGGGTGGTAGAAGAAATATGATGATTGTCAACCCTCAAAAAATTCTTCAGCAGCAAATGGCACCGATCTTCTTATGGCCTTGCGCCAGAATCCTGTCACGTCATCACGGTACAGCGCCAACCCTACCACACAAGCTTAGCAGAAGCAGTGGGATTTTTGAAAGACTTTTATTTAGGATATAATAAAATGATATTTTCCACAGAAGTACAAAATAACATACAACTATGCAGCTCAGTATGATTTAATTAATATTTATGACTTAGACATAAATTATTGCCATTCTTTATTATATGACATTACGACTAGTTACGCTTATAATCCAAGTCTGATTAAATTAAATATTAAAAGACTTGCAACACAATTAAATACATAGCTAAATATAATAAAACGCAGTAAGTAAGCGTGGCCACCGGGTTGGTTTTATTAGGGTTGAAATCTTACACGTCATTCCAAAAACCTAGGTGTGGTTTGAAGATTTTCCCACTATTAGACATAAAAGTCTTAAGAAGCTGCATGTTTATTTTGTCTAGTAATAAAACAAATTTATTATAGCTATGATTTTGAAGCGTCATCATTGAGGTCATTCAAATAGTATCTAAATATTCCTATAGACAATTTGAACTGTCTATAGACTTGATACTTTGGACCACTTCAAGACAGGCAGCTTTTTAGTTAGATCAGAAATGTATAATAATCTTTATTTTCTCTAAACTTTGGTAGCCTTGTCGAGACCTACGAGCTGTAGGTTAAGCTTGTTACAAAATTTGTTAATGGTACCTTGTATGAAGATCATAAACAAGCAATTTACACTGCATATACTGTTACACAATCGTTATTCTATACCTTGGCCATCAAATTACGCTTTATAGCTCAGTGCTACAGCATACAATAAAGTGTATGGAAGGACCAGGTTAGAAAGGCCCTTAGTTTGTTCTCGCCTCGAAGGACCACAGAGTTCGACTAGCTTTGGATATGGAATAAGATTGATGGCTTGTTCTTGTGCGATGGTGCAGATTGTAGCAGCTGTTGTGGCATTATTAAATGTCAGGTTTTCCTAGTTATATCTAAGGATGGGACATTCTGTTTGTTTATTGGCATATTAGTTTGTAAAGGAAAGTTATGACTTTATGTGCAGTATCTATAACACATGTCAAAGAAAAAGCGGCCAACGTATATATGCATCACCTGGTGGTAAGCATTCGATCCACATCATACATGGGCACATGGAAATGGTACACCAGAGGCTGGGGCTTAAGAAATTTAGGGATTGGGAGAGGAGAAGGATTTGGGCCTCCAGTAACTTCACTCACACGACGAAATGCAACATTGTGGTTATTTCACCCCGGTATTCTGTGAGGCCGTATTATAACTCCGGTCGAGCCAACCCATTTCTGCCGAAGCATGGCTCTCTTCAACTTAAAAATTTTAAAATTTTTGCTAGAGACAGTTGATGCCGGTTACCGCCTCTAGCACCGACCTTCATCTGATAGATACCAACCAACCTAATATCATTCAAATTGAGTATTCTAATGGTGACAATATTCAGTACAATGACGTCACTCAAGGAAAGAGAGTAGCATTGAAATTTCTCTTACCCGGATTTAGGATGCGTGGTCACGGCCGTAAATTACTTGCAGTGAATGCGTCATATTAGATCTAAGGAGGTGCGCACACATGCGATTGTTTGGAAAATGAGATTTTCATAAGATAACAAAAAGTTAATTCCCAAAGGGAAGGGTAGAAAATAAATGGTAGGAAGGAAAGCAGAGTTTCACTCCTTCCTTTCTTTTCTCCTTACCTTTTACTAGTTATGTATTAACGCTTCCTGACATAGATAGATTTTAAGTTGAATATAAATTATTGAGAATCGGAAGAATCGAACACCGTTTGCTCTACCACGGCTGGTGAGGCGATTTTGTAGTTGTGTGTTCATGATATTTTTCGTTTGTTAATTATTATAGATCGTTTTACCATAGTTGTCTCATAAAATTTGTATTTTTTTTCATATTTCTGCACCTTACTGTTAAATTAGGCATATTAACCATTGCATGCTGTGTACGGGAATAATCATATTTCAAATTTACGTCTTTTAAATATTGTCAAAATTAAGCTGAGTTTCTTAGTCTGTAGTCTATCACTAAAATAAAATAAAAAGCTGTAATATAACGAGACTTTTTACCAAATGAGGTCTGTCTAACTAAACGTCTTGCGACTAACTTCACGTATCTAAACTAAGTATTAAGTACTCTGATTAGGTATGCAAGTCATGTTAGCTATTCGTCGATCGACAAATGTTTTCCATTATTTATTAGTGTAACGGGAACTACGTTTGTTTCTTGTGTGCACACTTGCGACTAATTTGTCGAGGTCTGCTTTGTTATTGATTGAAAAAAAAACGAATTAAGATTTCTTCATATTGCGTACTGAAGTTAGCTATCTATCATCATAACGTTAACATTCGACTTATAAGACAGCGAAATCCTTCATCGGTCAAGGGAGTTTTGCACATGAATTGAAACAAATATTAAAAATAACTATTAAACTTTTGCGCAGTAGCCCGTAATGCATGATACATTTTAACATAGCCAAGTTGAGGAGCTTCCTTTTTCCTATAGAAATGCTGCACCACATCTGGTTTTTTATTTAATTTACCAATTAACATAATGGTGTATGTACATTCATGTAACATATATAACTGTTTAACATTTGTGTTATGAGTTTATCACACGTGTGTATAAAAAGTGACCAGAACTAGACGCCGGCTTGTGTCGGAAGGGATTCTCTAAAAAAAATAACAGAACACAGACGACGTCCACTAAGGCCTAAGGCGATCCGGGATTACGGGTGCAAGCACAATGATGTACCGCAACCTAGGGCAGAGCTCGGCAAGAAAAGTGTTGGGTATGAGTCATTAAAAAATTGGATACTTTTTCTCGCCCCACCCAGGGCGGGAATAGTCTTTGAATCATATTCTAACTACAATAAAGCCTAAAATAATACTTGAAACAGTTCCACGATTGAATACAACGCTTCTTGCAGCAGTCTAGCAGTCACAGTTCAACAAGTTATTTAAGTGTCTGTATGATGAACGTCTGGTTTAACTTTTGTATACGTTCGCGATTAATCGATGCGATTAGTAGCAGGTGTACATCGAACTATAGATCCAGTACATTAGTCGTAGCACACACGCTAGCTAAAGCCCCGAAGGTTATAACTGACGACCACTAGGGTTATGACAGAAAAATTCAATGAAACCATGTGGGTGCTTTGTATACAGTTTTAACAGATAATAATCGTCCCATATAAAACGCAGAGTGAATAGATAGCCCTTATTTCGTGAAAAATTAATGAAGCAAGAACAATGTTTAGTTTGACTTTGGTTCCAGTTTTTGTTTTAGTTTTATTAAATCCAGGTGAGTTTTAGTTTGTAAAAGCTTTATATATTTTTTTGTAATTGAGAATAGTTTCTGGTGAACTTATGTTTAAGATAGTTAAATTTTGCTACCCATCAAACATTTTGATCGAATCTTCCGCGTTTCTCCTTAGGAAACATAATGTTAACTTGCAAGTTTTTTTAAGTTTTATTGAAATTCACTATTAATTTTTCAGCGTCACCATTTAACTTTGGCATCCCAAATGTCCCAACAGTAGAAGATATTCTATATGGTCCTGTACCTTTCGACAATCGAATCGTTGGGGGCCAGAATGCCACTATAGAAAACCACCCCTATCAGGTGTCATTTGTTGTGAATAACTCCTACTTTTGTGGAGGTTTCATTGTGAGTGAGAATTACATCTTGACTGCCGCCCATTGTGCTCAAAAGTAAGTATACATAAATATTTTTCTTCTATATGTACCATATAGACCAAGATTGGCGTCAAATGGTTGCTACGAAACTGTGAAGCGTATCGGCATCCTGGCTGCATCAAAAACCACTTTACTAAGCTTCTGTTATTTTGCTGCTACTTAGAACTGTCATTAAATGTAAATGATAAATATTGTGATCACCGCAGTCAAATTGACGAGACATTATGGTTTGTTAAACATGTCACATTGTTCATGATTAATTTTTTTATGTGTGAATGGACCCACCCTGTCCTTAAAGTATACAAGATTGAAATATGTAGGGAATTAGTTAAGGCACTCAAGAATACGAAATGTGAATATACCTACATATCTAGATGGGTAATATGCTGATGTTATTAACTCATTTATCTTTACAACTAAACAGCGTAGACCCATCAACAGTGGTCCTCAGAGCTGGGAGTACGTGGAGAAGAAACGGCACAATAATACCTATTGCTGAAGTAATTGCTCATCCAGAGTATGACAATCCAGCTTTCGACAAGGATGTAGCGGTGATGAAGACAGCAGAACCAATCACCTTTACTGACACCATACAACCGATAGCACTGCCCAAGAAGGAAGAGTATTTGAAAGAAAATTCTGTTATTATGGTCAGCGGATGGGGCAAAACTAACGTAAGTTCTTTTTCTTTTTCTTTTAAATGAACTTTGCTCCACGTTGTGAATATTACCAGTGTCGTAGGTGCGGTTACAAACATACAATTTCACATACACATGACACCCAGACCCGGAACAATAATTTGTGGATCCCACCAAGAGCTGTTTTGTTCCGAATTACACCCGCGATACGCTGCATGGCAGCCAGTTGCCCAGCCACCGCCCCAACCGTGCAGTCAACATATGTTTCAGAAGTTGATGGTTTGTATCTTGGAGTTTTTATAAGAAGCGTCATACCATCACAGTCAGGGTCGATCTCTGCCAGGTTTATAGGTACTAGTCACGATCTGTAACTGAATTTGGGGAGGGATAGTCCTTATAGTTAGTAAGAGATGTTTCACAACTTTCTCTTCTTACAAAAAAGTTAGTTGTAAAGATTATATGAGAATAGCCAAGACTTGATTTTTGGTTTCCTCCAAGGTCAAGTGGAATGTTTTGGATGAACCAGTGAAAAAAGTGGGGCCAACAATGAAAAGGGTATCTTTGTCGTTGGTTATAACTTATATGTTATACATTGTATTTTTTTGACGTGTAAAAGTGCTGTTTTATGGCCTAATTATAAAAATAAATTCATTGTTTCATAAGCTATAACAATGTATTGGAATTTCAGCAAGGAAGCAATACTATACCGGAGAACCTGATGGACGTGGAGATCCCTGTGGTTCCTTACTGGCAATGCTTGGCGGTCTACTTCACGGTGCTTACAAGAAACATGTGGTGTGGAGGCAACTTCGTGTTGGGTGGCAAGGGAACCTGCCAGGTAAGAACTTTGAATTACTATAAGATTGTAATTGCAGTAGCTTTCTTTTGGGTCGTTTTGTAAATTATTGACTGTGTCGGCTTTTCTATTATATTTGACGTGATATGGAATTAATCGTTATAAGCAGAATTGCGTGGCAAATGCCACCATCGTGCAGCTGATTATTGGCTATATTTGATCCTGTGTTAGGAAGTAAAAGATATATATACTATTAATGAAACTAAACAATGTTATTACTATAATTGGGCTTGCTGAGGTAAATGTTATCGAATGGAGATAGATACATAGGCATTTATTGTCCTGTTAGCATCCGAAGTTGTTAATTACAACAAAGTCGCATTCTCAAAAATACAATATGTTTGCTTAAAATTTTAAAACTCCGCAACAGAATCAGTTTTTTTTAATAGAAAGAGTGATTGAAGAGGACTGTTTATACGTATATTAACCTCCATATATAGTGGATAAATTTAGTATCAGCAACACGAAAAATTCGTGGGAAGCCAGGACGGTCGCTAGTTTTAAATACATATGTGTTATGTTAACAGGGTGACTCCGGTGGTACAGCTGTCCAGAATGGCAAGGCAGTGGGCATCGTCTCTTTTGGCCGAGGTTGTGGCCAGCAGTTCTCGCCAAGCGTCTTCGCAGACACTGCCGCGCCCACTATAAGGGATTTTATCACCAAACATACGGGTTTGTGAGCAACGAAATTAAAAATGACAATGCGTGTAAAAAGGAAAACTTTGTTTATTAATTAAGTTTATTTATTTTAGATTTAAGGCTTCGGATTAGAATATTTATTTAATATATATGAATTTGCAGAATGTGCCTTCTTTTTTCATTGTTATCCTAATAATAATCTTATGAATTGTTAAATACAAGACTCTCTGTCTTGTATTTAACCTTTCAATCGCGGTAATCAGAGATACAATAGGTGTCAATACATAAAATGTTAAGACATTAGACAACTGTCAAATCCCTCAGCCCAATCCCCAAACCCCTAACCTAATCTAACCCGCAAAAGTATGGTAAAACATTGTGACTGCACGGTTGGCGCGGTGGCTGGGCAACTGGCTGCCGCGCAACGTGTCGCGGGTTAGATTCCCGCACGGTCAACTCATTGTGTGATCCACAAATTGTTGTTCCGGGTCTGGGTGTGATGTGTACGTGACATTGTATGTTTGTAAACGCACCTAAAACACGTGACAAAATCCCAGTGTGGGGCAACTTTTCAAAAAAACACCTCTAACTCTCTGGTACATATTTCTAATGTCTATTGGCGCGGATTGCTTACCATCAGGCGACCCATCTCATCGTTTACCGTGCTAAATACATTTATTTATAAACTCAATTAGACTAATATCATCTTTGGAGAACATCAATCAAACGGTTTCCTGAAAAAAATCTTCAGTCATCGTCACATGGAAATAGAGATCACGAGGCAGCCATTTAATTATGCTTAATCATACATTAGGCAGGAAACATCGACTCTTCAAGGGTAACACTAACTGCTGGTCATCATGACTTAAATACTTGGTTAGCAGTAATTACTTTATCTTTAGTTTTTCAGCTAGTAGAAAAATAACTGAACTGACAAAAAGTATAATTATTTAAAAGTTTATATAACATACGTCAAAAGCAAAAATTCAGAAACCAATATCTTAAAGTATTGTTAACATTTAATGTTTGCAGTCAAAATGTAGGCTATTAAAATAGTATTCTAACTTCACCATTGTCGGATGAAGCTAGAACTTTGTTTAATATTATAATTATAGGCTTAACGTGGCGGGTAGGTTAGCTTTTTTCTATTATTATGTATTGTTAATTGTAAAAACGTAAAAACTATTCAACTTAAACAATAATCGGGGTGTCATTTTCTCTACAGAAAAAACCCTATAAATAAAATAAAGAAAAAAAGAGTATTATTAAAGACAATTTTTATTTATTGGAACAAAGTACCTAATCGCCCGTTGTAAGGCTAGACGGAAAAAAATAAGAGGAAAACGTTGTAACGACACTTTTTGCTATCCCTCTTTCTTTCTCTATCCTTTTCTTCTTCATAGACAGCAAGCCAGGTAGTTATTTTCGTTTCGTCTTGCTAGGTAATCAGATTATGAGTAACCTGTGCACCAATGGCCTCGGCCCAGAGCAGGAGAAGGAACGGGGGGGTTTTTAGTCAGTAAGAGTCTGACACTCTCTCTCGCCTAACCCTGGGTGGGAGAAGTCATTTGATGATTTTCCCCTGACAAAAAAAAAAAAAATGGCCGACTTAATGCTTTGAAAATTCTCTACCAGTTAACCTTTGTAGTTTCAGTGTGTTCTTCTTTATCTCATTTCTGAGAGTATATAAATAAAGTGAATGAGGAAGTAAATCGATATAGTATAATAGCATAGTTTTACGACAATTACGTTCAAATGTACGGTCCAGTGAACTTCAGTGGACGTGTGTCATTAGAAACAAGACCTTGATGTAAATATACAGAGAGCCATGTGAACTGTGGACTGTTATTACATAAATACTTCATATTTTATGTAGATTCAGTTTTTTATGTAATTCAATTTTAGTATGGGAGAGTGATGCTTCGGCACGAATAGGCTGCTTCGACTGGAGTGATACTACGGTCTCACAGAAAACCGGCGTGCAACAACCAGTCTTGTGTTTAACATGGGGGTGAGGTTAACGGAAGCCCAATACCTCCCCTTTCCTCCTCCCTCGAAAATCCCTAGATACCCAAAACTTTTCATCCCCAAAAACCGGCAACGCATTGGCAACTACTTTGGTGTTAAGGTTTCTAATGCTTACCATCAGATAACAAAAAATGATATGTTATGACTTTCCGGTTGACGCGGTGGCTGGACGTCTGGCTGACGCGCAGCTTGTCGCTAGTTCGAATACTTAACTCACCCACGACACAGGAGAAAGTCCTAGTGTGGGGCAACGTTTTTTTTTAAAAACTTACTTTTTTGTTGGTCTGTCTTATTTAGCTAAAACTGTTAGTATTCTCTTAAATTGATTATAATTGATCGAATACGAGCCTTTTTACGATACAGTGCACGTTTAGGCACATCGCATATATTCCATCTTGATTCACAGATGTCTACATTGGTGAAATGAATTTCCTGAATCTCTTTTAATTGTAATACTTCTTTTATCGCATCTTCTAAATCTCCGTTATATGTACCTATGCAACATGCATTTGATCTCATAATATTAATAACTAGCATGCCCATGGCTTCGCCAGCGTGATAGAAAAAATTGCGTATAATAGTATGGTAATTCAGGGTATCATCTATCTACATAGGTGCTATAGAAAAATCAACCATAACATACATCTATACATTTTCACAAACTTTCACATTTTATAATATTAGTAGGTTTTTTTTGTTAGCATGTAATATTTTTTTATTCTGTTCTTAAAATTAATAGGTCTTATTGTAAGAATTCGATGTAAAGAATTTGACATTATTTAACCATAAGTGATAACAGATAAAATTAGGGATAATAGGATTGTTAGAGGAGTGCGGGTAATTAATTTTCAAATGTTTTAATTGTTTACGTAAAATAAAACATTCTTTCGATTTTTTAAATATATTGGTAGAGTGGCATAAAACCTTTCTTTGAAAAACTTATTAATAAGTAGGAGGTATTTAGTTAAAAAGGCCCCTACTTTATTTTAAAATGAAAAACCAAAATAATAAAACCGAAAACATAAAATTAAGTAAACCTATTTTATTGAATTATTTACAACAATTGTTTTTCAAATTATTATTATTATAACGAACATCACATTTATAAGTTAACATTAGTATTATTATTTAATTATATTTATATTTATAAAATTAATTATGTATAACTTATAAAATAAATAATCACAGTTCGTTTACAATCGCCATGATGGCATACGTTACTCCAGAGAACATGGCAACTAGTGCAAAGATTCCTATGATTACATTCTTCCATACAACGAAAGAACATAATGTAATGTCCTTGTTCCACCTGAACACGGTCTCCACGACTGCTGGCAGAAGTAGACCCATGATGGACAAACAGATGGCTCCTACTAATTCCATGAATAGTTCCAACCTTGGCACTGCACTGGCGATACCGACTGCGGAAGAAAAAAGTAATATTAGTCAATGAAATCGAGTATCACTTGATTTGTCGGTTTGACTGGAGTAATACCACCTTATAGAAAATTGGCATAAAAAACCACAGCGATGTGTTACGCCGTGTAAGTGAGGTTACCGGAGACCCAATCCTTTCTCATCCGCGATCCATAAATATCTGAAACCCTAATCCCTAAAAGACCGGGAACGCACTCATAATTCCTTTGCGTCTTGTAGGTGTCCATCGGCAGGTTATAAGGGAGCTGGTTTGCCGCCCTATCTCGTAAAAAAATATTATCTAGATTTTACGAGCATTAAAGACGATTTTTAGACGTCTAAGAAGAATATAAAAAGCTATACAATATAAAGTAATTACTCGCAAACTGTTCCTTACAAAGTTATTACTTATTACGTTTTTATTATTTATAAAATCAATATTTTAATATTTGTTTAATTCAATTTCGAAGTTCTATTTTCAATTAGTACAGTAAATTGATTTTACTTGGGCGCCTGACGTTAGTCCAAGAGCAACATTTTGCCGTTCTACCGAATTATCGAACTGTGTATGTGCGCTAAAGTGTTTAATGCAGTTATGTTTCTGTAAGCTTTTAGTATTTCGCGACGCAGTCGAGTCAAAACTACTCTAGTTTAAGTCAAGTATCGAATGATGCACACACTCTTGAACTAGCTAAATAATTGAGGATTAACTCGATCGGGTATCGATTAAATAAGGTTTAATGATATAGAGAGACAGTGGGGTAATCATTATTCTGTTTGTTAAGTGATTTTCTATATAATATTTTATGTATATTATGTGGTCAAATTTTCTACGATGAAAAACATATAAAATAAAATCTATATGCATGTATGCATCGCGTCAACAGTCCGCTACAGTCCACTTCAAGATAATAGGTTACCTCTATTTAGGACATGTTTGCCACAATCTCTGCAATTGTAACTTGGCGTGGGTTGCAAATTACCCTTTTAAATGCTAAGATTCATCAGAGCGCGATGTTACCCAGTCCCTAATCTCTGGTAATTGTGGAGTGTTGAAAAACTAAATGCATGTTTTGAATTCAATTTAGCGTAAGAAGTATTGCTATAAGACTTTTAACAGGCGCTGTTATTGCATAGTTAAAGTTCTTACCTAGCAATAATGTTCCAAAGAACCTGATGCCGGCGAGGGCCCATCGATGTCCTCTCGCTGGTATCCTGTCTTGCACTCTCCTCCAAACGACATCAATAGGTACGTAGTATACTAAGGTGAAAGACAGGAGCATCACGCAAGCCACCAAGAGCTTCGCGGTTTGAGCTAATCTGAAATAGAAGAAAATAATTCCATTAATAATATATTGTGTGCGATCGTTAATGTTGTCGGATCGACCGGGTTGATACTTCGACCCCGAGTATACGGTTTTTAAGTAAGTATATTATATCGCCGTATAAGTGCGGATGCCCAAAGGCCCTTTTCCTTCCATTCGCGCTTTCCAATCTCCCCAGAATATTCGCAAATTCTCCATTGCTTGGTTCTTAAAAAACTGGCACTGCTCTTGCATTTCGATTGTTATATTGATACATCATCATCAGTCAAATCGACAGATCAAGATAGTCTAATCCTGAAATTTGAACCACCTCTACCTAATTACACAATTAATATAATTTGCCAATCGTTCAACGCTTTCGCGACCGCACGCGAGAACGAGATCGCAGTTCCAAATGTTCAGGTACAATAGACCGCGATGTTGCCCGGTCTTTGTCAAATGTGTAGTTCCTTAGTTGGATCTTACGTCGCCTGTTTGAAGAGCAGCTAGGGGAAGGGGGGTAAATCTAATCTAGTCTGCCGTCAACACAGTTCTAGCACAGTAACTTATACCTTATGCACACTACTTTTGGCTCAGTTTTAATTGCTTTTATGCAAACAAAGGTTCATTTACATGACCTTACAGCAGTGGTTATTATTACATGCAGCCGAGTATTAAGTTCAGACTACTGTTTGAGAAATTATGCAACGTGCTCATCTCAGTATTACTGCTTATTTAGTCAGTGGAGCGGTTTCATTATTTTTACTAGAATAGAAATATAGATTAAAATGGTCTAGAGAAGATTAAAAGTAGCATAGACCAGGATTTTTTTTAAATATAGAATAACAAGGGTGCGATAAATTGGATACATGGTAATTACTCCAATTTAGGTATAGTTAAGGGAAACAAGAATACAGGTCCGAGGTGTGCTCGAAATGATCATGCCTGGAACAGTTGTACATTGAAATTTTCTACTGGTGTTAATCTGTGCGTAAAATACTAATTGTGATGTAGGACTAGTGACGTATGCATCATATGATTTTTTGCCATCGACCTTTGTGCGACACCAGAATTCTATTGAATGTTCCCAAATACCATGTTTTAAAGAAAACGTTCTCAAACTTACACTTCTTCCTGTGGTAGATTGAGGGTCAAGCTGCCTCTGGCTTCATCACCATACTTCAGGTAGCCGATGAATCCAACGAAGCCGTACATCACAGCTATAGCGGACATTGCAGAATTAAGGACTCCTGGACATCCGAGGAAGTCTTGTGGTTTCTTCATCTCATTTTCTATTGGCATCACCACGCCAATACCTTCCATTGCGAAGAGACTTGTACTGTGAAAGAAAAGAAAACGGTTATTTAGATTTGGTTAGACTTCGGATTTTGGTTTGAATGCCCTAATTGGTATTGAATTGGTGAGAAAAAACAGCAGCAATACGGATCAGTGTTGCGTTGGTGAGAATACATCACATCAGATCACCTGATCGTAGTCACACGCAGCACCAGAGAAGTTGTTAGTGCGTTGTCGGCCTTTTAGTGATTTTTTTTGGCAGAGGAAAATCATCAAATGACTTCTCCCACCCAGGTTCGGGCGGGAGGGAGTGTTGGACTACTTATTACTGAATAAAAACACTCCTGTTCCTTCTCCTGCTCTGAGCCGAGACTGCGGTGACACATTTCGCTTACCCCGCAACCCTGGCAGCTTTTAAGGGATTAGGGAATTGATTATGGCAGTGGTGAGGATTTACACTCCGGTAATTTCACTTAAACACAAAGCGTTGTGTCGTCGGTTTTCTTTGAGACTGTGGGTAGTATTATTGCTGAGTTCCATTCGTGCCAAAGCGTAGTTTTCAAATATTTATTGCCTTTGTAAAAAATAAAAAAGCTTACACGTATCGATTCTGTGGTGTAAAAGTTTGGTCGATAAGCTATGACAACTACGCAACGTAATTGATGAAGATCGTGTACTTGAGACCTCATTGTTTTTACAACTTCATTAAGAGTTTAATGAAAAACTCACACTTACAATATACTTCGTACATTTTATCTTAACCGTTTATATTTTTAAGTTTGTACAAAAATCGAGACGTTTAACTTTAAGTGATCTTATCTTGGAGACTTGTCCTCTCAGTCGATTGAGCTAATAAGTATGATTTATGATTGACAAGCCACAAAAACTATACAAAATCTTGTCTTCACCCACCGCATCATTTTTCCACTAATCTTGTCTTAGAGAAAGATTTTGTCCATTTGCGGTTTTGAAGCCATTTGAGCCCATAAACCGCATCAAAATCCATCAAGAGGTTTAGAAGCATTAACAAAATGATAGACAGACGGTTTCGAAAAAAATATTTAGCTTAAGCACGCTCACAAATTCTTTAGCGATAAATCAAGCTGGGGAATTTATGCAATATCGTCAGAGTTGTGCAAATTTATTGCATGGCTTAAAGTTCATTTTAAAAGCTGTTTGTATAACATCTGTGACGGATGTACCTTTATTACACGACTGCCCAAAAAATGAGTGTTTTGTAATATGATCCTTATTGTAGGTATACTAAACTTTTTTATGTGACAGGGCGGGCGGTCAGCGGCCTTTTGGGTTGTCTGATGGTAAGCAATCAGCGCAGCCCATACATACACACTACAGAGGGGTTACGAGTGCGTTGCCATTCTTATGGGGATTATAGTTTCGTAGTTTAAAGATTCGGTTGGGCCTCCGATAACCTACCTCTGACGGTGAAATATAACGCTGTGGTATCACTTCGGTCGAGCCGACCCATTCAAGCCGAAGCTTGGCTCTCCCACACCCAAAAAATGTTTAATCGACCAAATTGAAATGCATTTTTTTAATCTCTATATTGACTGGCATTGGCTTTTTTGTCTAGAGATGGTCAGCGAAACAAACCAAGGACGAAGGACGAAAATATAATTATGAAAAAATGTCGATAATGCGATTAGCATTTATTTTTCCAGTTTCATTTAAGTTTTAATATAAGAAGTATTAATTTTCAAATACAGGTTTACGAAATTTAAAGTTTATTTGAATGAAGCCCAAATAAAAAGTTAAGTTGCTATAATAACCATTGAAAATTTCATTCCATTCACGTGCTAATAAGGTCCTCTTTTCTTTTGTGGCCAGGCGGCAAGATGCTAATTTGAAATCATTGGTTATATTGCCTTTAATGAGACATCTACTTACAGTGTTAGAAGTCCTGCAAGCAAAAGTAGAAGTCTAGACTTGGAATCCCAGCAAATATTCGTCTAGACCTTTAAGCTGCTGGTGTTTTATCGGTTCTACAATTGGTTTGAACCCTTACCATTTTTACAAAATTGTTTTGATTTGTAGTTGCATATTTCTCTTAAGTCGTTAAAGCATTTGAGTCGGATTTTCATTTAAATTCCTTGACTAAATCGCTTTGTTGCAGAAGTAACTGGGAGCTGGTCTGGTAAGTCCTTACTTGTATAATATTTTAAATATTAGGCTAAAACGCCTATGTGAAAGTTGAATAGATTGAGAATGAAGTAGGAAAGAATTAACTGGAATTAGTAACTAGAATAGCTTTACTTATTAGTTGACAGGTATACAAGTAACTTCATTACCTGATGGCAAGTAATCAACACCGCCCATAGACACCCGCACCCGCGGATTAGTTATAAGTGCGTTGTCAACCTTTAGGGGATTAGGGATTTGGAAATTTTGACTTTGGGGAGGGATTGGGAGAGGGGAAAGATTGGGCCTCCCGTAACATCACTCACACGGCGATACACAACGCTATAGTTGTTACACGCTGGTTTTCTGTGAGACCGTGGCATCACTCTGGTTGAGCCGAATAATTCATGCCAAATCATGGCTCAATCACGCAATTACATTTTTATTGAGTTCTCTTTTATTTAAAGTTTCTTTGACTGACGTAACCGTAAAACTTAGTCCTTAATGCACAAGAATGATATCATTTTATCATTTCGACTTCTAAATGAGAACCATTAGTAGCGACCGAAGCTTTGCATTTGTTATATGTTGTTCTAACAATTTGCATAGACTATTAAATTTCCTTGTTCAATTAATAATAGTACGGCGCGAGACAATGTAATTTACCATCTGGGGTACACGGACGATGGAACGAAACCCTTTTCCTTCATAGTGGAAACCTTTGTTTATGTCCAAAACTTTGTTTGTTGGGTTTAAAGTAGGTACAGTTGGCAACAGTCACGTTCTTAAAAGGAAGAATAATATTTTTTTTTGTCATTTTTCGATCAGAAATATTCTTGTATTTATGAAATCCACACATAAACCTAGTTTTTTATGACTTCAAAATTTTTACCACATTTAAATCACTCGACCATAAATAGAGCAACGTGTAAGTATATTTTAGGTTAAAAATGCTATTCAATTTCCACTAAGAACGTCATATTATTAACTCAAACTCTACAACATATCCCTGTACTAGGCTTTTTTAAAGGACTGGGGGACGGGTCTTCAAATTACCGCTACCGCCCTTTGTGGAGCGAGAAGGTGTTTTTTTTTTCTGTTACTGACTAAAAAACACTTTACTCCTTCTGCTTTGAGTTGCAGCCGCGGTAATTGTATTGGATTTAATTATTGTTGCGTATTTGTCAACCGATGAAATTGGACCGGAATGATTCAGTTCGAACCTTTCTGTCTGTACAAAAACTGCGGTGAAAACTTAAATAGAAATAGGTAGGAATTTTCGAATCAAATGAAAAGCCAGGACATTGCTCCCCAAATTCTTTACAACACTCAACCATGTTTTACCAACTTTTCACCCTCGTCGCTGTTAAAGAGGTCTAAAAGAAATGTACGTGTATTCAAATCTAATTTTTACCTACTGTAAAACTCAAAGAATTTCCTTTTGAGTTTTTTGAATAAATTTCAAAGATTTTATTTTCTGAGTTTTTTTTTATTAAATAATAGTTTTTGATGAAAGACGGTCTAGACAAGGTCCCTGTTATTTTGCTCATTGTATTTGGTGTCTATTTGAAGCAGCTAGCATGATCACTAATACTCATTATTTTATCGTGTAAAAGCCTTTGCTCAGCACTCTTCATGATTGGCGAGAATTATCTATACGACCTCTACTGGTCACTGAACTAATTGACATCTTCAACATTAGTGTGAAGACAACGGGTATTAGACCCGTAAGCACTTTAAGAACCGTAAGTCCAATACCCGTTGCTTTAGTAATAAAAAAGTGTAGGAGAGCCATGCTTCGGCACAAATGGGTCGGCTCGACCGGAATAATTACACGGCCTCACAGAAAACTGGCGTGAAGCAACGCTCCGTCGTGTTTTCGTGTGACTGAGGCTAAATACCCCCCATCCCTCAAATCCCATAATAATATCCGGCAACGCGCTTGAAATAAATCCTTTGGTACTACAAGCGTCCATGGGTGGCGCTTATTGCTTACCATCAGGTAATCCAGTTGCTTGTTTGCCGTTTGTTTACTTATGACAAAAAAAAAAACAAATTAATTTTGATCAAAAAAAAGATAAGTAGGTATTAAATTTCTATTTATATTTAAAAGTAAAATACAGTTTAGACATTTCAATTTTGATTTTAATAATGAAAAAGGGCACAGATGGCTGTAACGAGAAGTCGTTTGTTTCGTAAAAAATTCAAAGAAATTTGCGGCAAAAAATTTTCTTCGATATAAAAGATTAGACGGTGCAATGCCTTGGCAATGGAAGCTGTAATTTTGCAAGCTTGTGTCCATTGTAAAATATTTTCTTCAAATACGTCTTAACAGAAATACAAAATAAAAAATCTTGTTATGCGGAATTGACAAAAAGTGTTTGTTACTTTTGATTAGTGTGATAAGTAAAGTATAAAATAAATATCATTTAAGAATGTGTATTAATGTGGAAGAGACATGCTTCGGCATGAATGGGTCGGCTCGACCGGAGTGGTACCAAGCCTTACAGAGAACTGACGTAAAAAAACCACAGCGCTGTGTAATTGAGGTTACCATAGGCCCAATCACCGTCCCTCAAACCACCTCAATTCTTTAATTCCCAAAGGGCAACCCGCAAATGCAATTGCAACTGCTTTGGTTCTGTAGGTGTCCATGGGTGGCGTCAATTGCTTACCATCAGGTAATAAGTAATCTTTTTTGCAGCCGTATCACATACAAAAATATGCATATGGAAATCTGTTAATCTAATTTCAGTGACAAAATCATTGTCGTCTATTTCATTGATAAAATATGGCCTTTAAACTCTTATGACAGATATTAAATTAATTGTTATGTTTAACAACTGTTTGACGTTTTGCGGTTGACTGCGCGATGTTCGCTGTAATGAGTGTTGAAACTAGTCGAGTTCCAAAATATTGCCTCAAAATGAAATATAATTACCAACTTTATAGCAATTTTTTATATTTTTCTCACTGGTAAAGTTTAGTGAAAATCATTCAAACTACAAAACATTACACATTTGTGGATATTTCATTATTTTTTATGGTATAGGTCGGCAAACGAGCAGGCGGATTACCTGATGGTAAGCAATCATGCACATGGACACCCGCAAAACCAAAGGAGTTACGATACGATACGTTTTATGGATAAGAATTTCAGATATTTATGGATTGGGGAGGGATGCAGAGGGGCTTGGTTGGGCGTACGGTAACCTCACTCACACGGCAAAACACAACGCTGTGGTTATTTCACGCCGGTTTTCTGAGAGGCGGTGGTATCACTCCGGTTGAGCCGATCCATTCGTGCCGAAACATGGCTCTCCCACCATCATTCGACTGAATTTAATACCTATATTAAGTTCAATACAGAGATTTATTTATTGAAATCTAAGCATTTACAAACTAACCAGTTACACATTATCAATTAAAATTATTATTCGAAAATTTAATTAATCCTTGTTTTAAAGTTTTGAAAATCGAATGAATCATACAATTGAATTGGTGCAAACTGAAAGATTATAATAAAATTATTTACATAGAGAAACTTTTAATAGAGATTTATTTTAATAGTTCTGAGTGCAAATGTTTGTATAAAGTTTTGTTTTAGGAGGACAAGCCTTGGTAATTTGACTAGTTCTTTACTGAATACAATTGAGCTACTGATTCATATTAGAGTTTAAGCATTTGATTTTTGATGATTTTTTTTTGATGTATTCAGTGGGATAGTTTTGAGCTCTAGTTCATCTTCATGTGTGTATAGATACATAAAGTGGTTGGTGATAAGTTATTTTAACCTTGAGGTGCTAAAGTTAAAGTCAAAGTGAAATAGACTGCTATAGACACTTTTGAACAAAAAAATAGGTACCAAAAAGCTATTGTAGAATTAATACAGTAATTAATTTTAAAACAAATAGTGCACTTTATTATTCACAATGGTAGTTCCTTGTTAGGTTAAATTAGCTTGACACTTTAAATAACTTTAGGTTAATACGTTTAAGGGCCTATTTGATGTACCGCAGCCCTGGCTAGAAACATGAGAAGGAACGGGGCAGTTGTTAGTCAGAGTCTGACACTCCCTTTCGTATTGCCCAGGGCAAGAGAGCCTATCGGATGACTTCCCTAATAAAAAAGGACAGTTTCACTACCTACGCCTATAAGTTACCGATAAACATATGCCACACATAATTATGTAGTTCATGTAATAACTTTCTACATTACAATTTTATCTAGACCATAGTGGCTATCCAGAAATTGTGAACCAGGCCCTTGCCCTTCAACGATATAAAATGTTGTCGCTCTTGTGTATTTCTATCATGATTTCCCTTAAGCACAGAATTATATGAATCAAAATTTTCTTTAAAAATACATCTTTTTTTAATTTTCATCTCTTTTATTTGCACGACCCTACTTAGAAAGAAGATTATCAATCATCTCTGTCTACCAAAAAAAAGAAGAAGCTGTTATAAAAACTTACCTTATAAAAGTAGGCAGACCACTGATAGAAGTAACCAGATGCTTATCAGAGAAGTCAGGAGTTTCTCTCAAGCAGTAGTAGAGGCATATGCATATAGAGCCTAGCCACACGAAGTTTGCTAACGCCGAGAACGGAACCAGGTACTTGAGCTTCGTAATTTGAGTCAGTGGGAGTAATACCACGAGGGTTAGCCCACAGTATACTGTCACTGACCAGTCAGGACCGCCATAGACTATTGATACCTGGAAAAAACAGTTTAAGTTATGTTTTGTTCGTAAGTTTATCATAAAGACATTTATGTATGTCAATTTGACCCTTAGAGGTACTTTTGAACTTCAAACAAAGATTGAAGATTTAAAGTATCAGTCTGTCAGTCAGTTCTTTTAGTGAAGCTATTTCAGTTCCAAAGTGTAGATTCTGATGGAGCAGAATGAGCAAGAAACTCCATGGCATTTAAATCCCTCACCCTCATCCCTCCACTGCTGTTGTATCCTGGGCCACGTTTGATTAACATCAGGTAATCTGTGATTGTAAGCCATGATATCAATCATATAAAATAGTTTTACTAAGTATCTCTAACTGGGCAGTAAGTCATAATAATTTACATATAAGTAGTGCTGTAAGATAACTTTACAATTTAAAAGTTATAAAATGTCTTTTCAGTTTTGTGTGATAGGAGCGACTGGCAAACGAGCGGGCGGATTACCTGATGGTAAACAGTGGACGCCGCAAATGAACACCCGCAACAATGGAGGAGTTACGAGAGCGATGCCGACCTTTTGGGTATTAGAGTTTTGGAGATTTAGGGATAGGGGGAGGGGAAGGATTGGGTCTCCGGTTACAATCATTTACACGGCGAAACAGAACGCTGTGGTTGTTTCACGACGGTTTTTTTGAAGGCCATGGTATTACACCGGTCGAGCCGACCCATTCGTGCCGTATATACAAAACTCAAATCAAACAGAACAAGATATTCTTTGGTGGAAACTTGATCAGTACAATTTGTTGAGTAATTGAATATTATATACTGAAATTCAAATAACAATCACAACCAATATTTGTGAAGTGATTTAACAGTTGATTAATTATTAATTTTGCCAATCAACTACTATGATATGAAATGGTTGTAATACGTAGTTAATTATACCTATCTTATTAAGTTGGTTAATATCGAATTTACCGGATAGATATTACCTGTCGATATTAGCGAGCTACAATTTAGGTAATTTTATATTAGTTGACTATGGGCTACAATAATTTTGCGGCAAATAAAATACAAGTTTTTTAGCTACCTCTTATATTTTAAAATGGTACAACTCAGTATGATTACTACCGTGTCAGCGAATACAATTGATTGAAACTTCATGGGTTCGAAGCTTCTGGCGCGAATACGACTTCTACTAGCTTTTCCAAACGTACTTTCAAAGATTATGTGGACATCACCGACAGAAGACGGCGAAGGAAGACATCGTGGGGAAACCTGGATTTATAATTTCCAACTATTAGGTTGAAATTACCAATCCACCTTGAGCAAGTCTGGTTATTATTGCTCAAACCTTCCTTACGAGAGAAGAGGATATTGCTTAGCACTATCCCACTAGTCTATCACACTAGTGGACACTTTTAGAGTGATAACGATTTGCTTTTTATATTTTTCAAGTGCAAAAACAGACAGTAATTATTATAATAAAATATGAGAAAACGTAAAAATATATCAGTAAAAAATAATACAAAAAACTTAAAAGAAAAATAATGCAATTTATCTTTTGGAAAAAATGATCACATATTTAAATTCCTTGAACTTTTCTAATATTAACACGCGCATTCATTCCACCGCTCCGTCGCATTGTTTGCCGCAGCAATTTGCATTTTATATGCTTACAAATAAAAATTAATTACGAATAAACGATGTCAATACTATGTTTCCTTTTCATTGTTAATTGTAATAAAAAGTAGTTTACATGTCTTAAAGTAGTGTTTAAATGAGGAAAGTTAGGTGAGGGCTAAAGTTTTGATAGTGCAACATAAAATGTAATGGACTTTAGTGGACTACAATAAGAGCTATAACTGCTTGCAAAGTCTTCAAATTGTATGGACAGAAGAACAACAGTAACTGTTGATAGTAATACGGGTTTAAATTTGGAAAAAACCAAAACAGACATTGTTTGCTTTGGTTCAGTATTATGGCCTGCTTTAGGTTACCAAGCTAAACGCGTCAGTCATTTTCTCGCGAAAAACCAATGGATGATAATCAATATATAATCAGCCAAAATTTAGTCAGGTTATATAATATAAGTACCCTGTCTACTAAATATTCCCTCAGTGGTAATAAGACTAATAACAGTATGATCTTTAACCTAGGTAACCTCAAGCAAGTTTCAACCAGAGGCGTATTGTACTTGGTGAGCGCCCTAGACAAGCACCCCAAATATCTTTATGCCGTTGTGCCCTTATGTAACTCGCGCGTCTTGGCGCCGTACGCAGCTTGACGATTATTTTTTATGGTTTTTATGGTAAAGGTCGACAATCGAAAGTGTGGGAGAGCCATGATTCGGCACGAATGGGTTGGCTCGACCGGAGTGATACCACGGCCTCACAGAAGACCGGCGTGAAACAATTACAGCTTTGTGTTTCGCCGTGTGAGTGAGGTTTCCGGAGGCCCAATCCTTCCCCGCCCCCAATTCCTCCTCAATCCCTAAATCTCCAAATCCCTAATCCCTAAAAGGTCGGCAACGCACTCGTAACTCCTCCGTTGCGGGTGTCCATGGGCGGCGCTGATTGCTTACCATCAGGTAATCCGTCCGCTCGTTATATAAAATCTCGTCATAAAAAAAATCGAGCAGAACCATCAAGTGATCAATCACTGAAGCAATCGGCACTGCTCAAAGAAAAGTGAGTTACTGGAGAGTTTTAGTTGTGAACTGACAGGGTTTTGAGGATTAAGGATGGAGCGTGGAGACGGAGGCTTTCGGTAACGTTATTCATACGATAAAACACAACACAAGATGATTGCGTCGGTAAGGTTGTGGTAATATTACTCCAGTCGATCGGACCCATTCGTGCCGAAGCATGCATCTCTCCGTAACACGCGCACCCCGTGGCGCCCATTCGCAACCTGGCGGCCTAAGCAACTGAGACAATACGGCTCTGGCTCCAATCTTAAAGCTAAAATATTTAAATCAAAGAAACAAGTACTAACTCTATTAGACAAGTTTCGAAATATCTGAATTACAAATTGACAGCTTCTGGGAATTGTTTATAAGAAAGGTTTAGTTATTTAGTTGTAATTGCGCTGTGGTACAATTTAAACCGATGTCGGTCGGCGTAAACTTTCTATTTATTTATCATTCAAAATTCTCCGATTTGTGTGGGGTGAATAATGTAACTAATAGGCCGGAATGATTTTTTGTTTTTCTGTAGGGTCGGCAGACAATTTGTAACGCTATTGTAATCTGTAACATGGTTTATGGCAAGCATGTTGTTTGACTATTTTTACCTTTTAATTAATTGGAAAGTAAACAATTGACCTCATAAAATATTTTAATGTTACCTGCAGCAATGGCCGCCGAGAGTCACATCAAAAATGTCGTGATCAATAATTATTTTTGGGTTAACAATTATTTTTTTAAAGCCACTCCTTAAAAATGATAGCATTATTTGAAAACTTAAAATGCGGTCTTAATTTTGATGATCATTTTGCAGTTTTGCCTGTTATTTTTCCTATATCTGGTGGTATGTTAAACATAGGTTATAAGATACCTACTTGTCTAAAGGACTCTGCTATGACCACGACGTAGACACAGCAAGCACCCATATGTGTCAGCGCTAACGCCCAATCAGCCAACTCTCTGGAAAATAAACAACAGACATTAATTAAATTTTTCGTTCTTTTTTTGTTTTTGTTTCGTCAGATTTGGTGAAGTATTTAAAATAAGAAGTTGACAGTAAATTTAATAGAACTTAATAGTATTTTTTTATGATTTTATAGTATTAAATAGTTGTATAGATTTGTATATGAATGTGTTACTTATTTGTTAGCCAGTTAGGCTTCATTTGCAATAACGGCATAAAAATAGCCTGTGCATTATTTCAGAGTATAATTTATTTTATATCTGTGTCAAATTTCATTTAAATCCGTTTAGTAGTTTTTGAGTTGAAGAGTTACATACATACAAAGATAATCGCAAATTTTTACGTTTATAGAAGTAAAGTAGTTAGTACTATTTCTATAGAATACAATACGGATAAGATATAGTTCAATCAGATTAACATAAAGAGATATTATGGAGGATTGCATTAATTTTAACAACAAATTAATTAATAGATTCCAATATACATAATTAATATCATACACACACACGAATAGATGTTAATATGGTTGATTAATCAATTATTTTAGGTGACATATATATCTTGACCTGTCGTGGTGGCCCGGAGGTTAAGGCTTGTCATGCATGAGGGTACGGGTCCGAAACCTGGTTGGATTTTCTCCTGTGTCGTGGGTGTGTTTACAAACATACAATATCACATACACATGACACCCAGACCCGAAACAACAATTTGTGGATCACACAAAGTGTTGTTTCGGGCGGGAATAGAACCCGCGACAGGTCGCACGGCAGCCAGTTGCCCAGCCACCGCGCCAACCGTGCAGTCTAAATATGTACGTTCTAAGATTATTTAGACACCACTTGATGACTTAAAAATCACTACATTCCGATAAAGCTCAACTAGTTACAAGTCATAACGGGACGCTTATTCTTGACCACCGTGGGCATAGACTACCAGCCCCGCCTGTGTACTTTGTGCATTAAGTTGAATAAAATAAAATAAAAATAAATATTTTCTATATTTTTTTATGCTCCACGATTTTGCTATACAGAAATAGGAAACTTTGACTTATAATTTCGAATTACAAGTTTAAAACTACCAATCCGCATTGAGCAAGCGTGGTGATTGATGGTCATTACCTTCTCCGTGTGAGAAGAGATCTTTGATCAGCAGTGAGCATTTATAAGCTGGTTATGTGCGTAACCTAAAATCTTGTACTCACCGTGCAAAAGGAGCAAATTTTCTAACTGGCTTCGGTCCATTTTGAAACACCAGATCACACGTGTCTGCATATCCTATTGCTGGTTTCTTGAGTTCTACACATAGCTGCTGTGAGGTTTTTACCTGAAAACAAAAGATATAATAATGTAGACAATTGTAATAAATGTGGCACCTAATGTTTTCCGAAAAATAAAAGTAGAATCAAAATACAGAGTCGATGCTGTGGCTGGCCAGGATGACTATGTTCCCTTCTGCATAGAAAAAATATATTGTATGGTCTTCAAATGCCGATAGAATGATAGATGCCTTTACGAATTTTATTAAAGAGTAGTTCAGAAATTGAATTATTATCCAAGAAAAAAAAAACAAAAACTATGCACTATATATTCAAGTGCAAGCGCAACGAAATATTGCGCTCCCGGCATGATGCAGGAGATGGAAAGTTTTTAGTCAGTAACAGTCTGACACATTCTCCCTCCCTGGGCGGGAATAGTCATTCGATGATTCTCCCCTCACAAAAATAAGAGTCTGACACGTATGAGAGAAAATAGAAGTCACGTGACGATTTTTCACTACCAAACTGAACTGGATTGATGATATTATCAAACTTGACTTTATACAATCAGATTCATTATTGGGTTTGATGTTAGGTGCGTATCAATTATGGAATGAGCCTATTACAGCATTACCATATTTCCAATTATGTGTTTATTGACGAACTTAAAATCAATGCATAGGTATTACTTGAATTTAGCATAGACACAAAACCGTTCTCAGAAATAGAGTACAAATTTAACTAAAGCATAAATTACGTCCATTCTATATGCATCAATGCATAAAGTGGCTTAACTTGAAAGTCCCAAGATTGCAACTTTGACATAATATTGGGAAACGATCTAAGGTTTGTTGATTCTATTTGTTATGACGCAATCCCTTTCGCTGTAACTTTAATTTGAGAACTACTTAACCAAAGCATTGTTAAACTAGGTCATGGTGGTTTAAAGTGGCTCTTACGTAGTATACTTATTGCTTTACCGACATTTATGAGATTACATTTCGTAAGTAATAGGACTTTTAAAACGAAATGTGTAATACGAACATTTTCCTGCATTTTGGAATTATGTTGGTCTCGTGTTATATATACTCTAAACCTTATATGTAGTAAGTAGACCTAGATCTGTACGAAATAACTTTCGTTTGTTTATATTTGTGAACTTTATTTATTTACCAAAACATAAAACTATCGTTACAAGTTAATTAATTGTTAAGTCAAGTGTAATAATGTAGTTTTTAGTCAGTAAGTCTGACAATCTCTCTCGCCTTACCCTGGGCGAGAGAAGTCATTTGATGATTTTCCCCTGACAAAAAAGACTCAGTAAGAGTCTAACACAGGGAGTGTTAGACACTTAGCCCCACCCGAAGCGAGAGAAGACATATAATGCTTTTAACCCTCTCGAAAATGAAAAATGAATATATATAAATATATAATTCAATTACCATAAATTCAAAATAAGCATGCATTTCATGTTAAATAATGTTTTATTTATAAATTTAAGGTCATAAGATTAATACGACAAATTAAAAAAAGCTTACGTTTGAAAATGGAAATAGATTACCAAACTCGTTGATAACAAAATAAGATAAAGTAAAATTAACAATTACATAACAAAGATCTGTCACAACTCTATGTCATAACATCAAATATTATTATAGTGGTAATTAGAAAGTGTCATGGCATTCAGTTACCCGAAACACCATGGATAATGGGAACCACAAAGTCGGTTAGTTGCGTAATATAATAGTTGTATCTCAGAGTAAGCGCGTAAGGTTTACGACTGCGGTTTTATTACTGTTCTCTTGGTGTATTCCCATTGTCACTATCGTGGATCGTTTGATTTGAATTTTCTTTATAACTAAAAGCATTTTTATTAAGTTGTCAGCTGCTACGCCAGTGATGCCAAGCTAAAGATTTTAGCTATATAGGTATTTATTTTATACGCAACAAAGTCAAAGTCAAAATCATTTATTTGAAATAATAAATACCCATACAGGCATCTTTGAACGGTATTCAGTCAGTCAGTCCTCTTAGTGCAGCTCGTTCCAAAGTGAAGATTTGGATGGAGAAGAACGAGCTAAAAACTCCATGGTTACTCTTTTTAAATCAGTTTTATATACAGTTTTGATACATTATTTAGTTGGTTTGATTATGTGTAACAATATTTGACCCAACCGAAGAGATACCATGACCTCACCGAAAACTGGCGTTAAGCAACAATTACGTAGTGTTTCGCCTTGTGAGTGAGATTACCGGAGGCCCAATCCTTCCCCCTATCCCCAATGCTTAAATCCCTAGTAACCAACAAGAGGCCTGTAATGCACTTGTGGTAACTTCTTTGGTATAACGAGTGTGCTAGGGCGGCGCTGCATGCTTACCATCAGGTATTACGTAGGATCGTTTCGATAAATGCTTTAAAAAAATTAACCAGACACCGCTTGCTCGATAATCGCACTAGTGACCATTCGACCAACGAGGCAGATTCTTTGATTAAATGAAATCGAATTTACAGCTACACATGCATCCATCCATAAACACACAAAGTAGTAACATTGTTTAGTTAATAGTCGCATTAGGCACACACCACACATTTTGATGAGGTTACGCTACCCCATCTAAGCCTTCACATAAAACAATATCAACCGCAAATAACTCAATATAACTTCAGTAGTTTAAGTAAATTTGGTTAAAACTTTAAAATGGATACGGAGAAATGGTCCTTGATTGGACTTAAGAAGTATTAAGTGGACTGTACTTTCAAGGTCAGGATTATTTGATGAAGGTTTTTAGATTTTAGATGTAAGTTTTACATTTGGAAATTGGCCTCAAAATTCTTATATAGATAAGAATTTTGAGGCCAATTTCCAAATGTAGGCCAAAAAAAAAGTCAAAAGTTACCACGTCCTATGCGTTTTTTTTTTTGTCGTGAATGTATAAAGTGTACAAGTACATCTATAGGTACTAATATTATAAAGAAGTAAAACTTGTAAGATTGTATGTAGGGTAACCTTTGGAACCGATGGTCGAATAGCTAATTTTTTTTACTAATACGATCACAATGTTCCTAAGTGCTATAAATTATAATTGATTTGCGTATTTTAGTCAAGCTTTATTTTTAAACGCTGATACATTACTTTTACACGCGTCCGAAGCTGCTGGGGGTAGAATAAATATGTAAAATACATACGACAATTTGGGGACACAAAGAACTGTTCTTACTCTCTCTATTATATATTATATAATTTTATGGTTTGGAAAATTGCAGAACCAAGATAACGTTTCACTTTAAACAAAATGAAAGATGTAGAGTTATTTAACAACAACCATTGAAGATATAAATAATTGTTACCAATAAATTTTTAAGTCAAAATATTTTATCATTGTAGCTGTGTTATTAAAGTAGCTTTATATTCTGTGGCAGTGCGCAGAAGCTCCATCACTGAATGCTGCACACAGATCTACGAAAGAGTAGAAATGGCTTACCTTTCGTAAAATTGACTTTGTTCTTGACTGAAACGTAACTCAATATTTTAGTTAAACGTTTTAGTCTCTCCAGTCATAGATATAAATTAGGATTTTGGTCTTATTGATTCTTATACTGAGATTTATTAAATACTAGCATCCACCCGCGACTCCGTCCGCGTGGTATGTTCAAGCCCTTCAGCATCGTATACATCATATACATACATACAAATTGCAACTAAATCGGTTCTGCAGTTTAAAATGACCGGCAATACATTCTGCTTTTACCATTTATAATATTATTAGGATTAGAAATCAGTAGTTTTCAACCATATAAACCAGTCCATTATTAATACCTAACGTCACGTCACTTTTTACCGTATCTAGTCATAATGAAATCTATGGTCTTACAACTTATTTTTTTACTGTACCTATACTAGCTATTATTGTACAAATTACTCCATCAACTGTTACAAATTACTTCAAACGCAATATGGACGTAGATACTAGGTCAATGACCTCAAGCTTGCTTTGACAAATAACCAACGCATTTGCACAACAAAAAGCCAAGGTGCCAAAGTAAGTAAAGTAATTGTTAGCATTGAAATATATACAATAAGGCCTTCAGAATAAGATACGAAATATTTATGCAAATAAAGACTAAAATTTATGGTTTAATTTATTTTGAATTGGTGAAAAATAATAATAATTTATTGTTTGGAGAATAAATCATTTTTTTATAGTGATTTAATTTGTAATTAACGAGGGATTAGTATAAATTGGCTACCGCTTTTACTTTCTCCTGAGTTAGGAACTGCATAATATATTTTTGTATTTGACAAGCACCAGGCGTTAGTATTCTTAAATAAATCTTTATTCCATATGTTTGTATTACAACTTTCATATGCCATATTAAATTTATTAAACACTAGCTTTCACCCAATACTGCGTGGTGTGTTGATAAAAAGAAGTCTATGTGTTAATCCAGGTTATCTACATAGCAAATTCCAACCAAATCGGTCGTGTTGTTTTTGGGTAGAATAATAACAAACGTACATCGAAAAATTGTCACAAACTTTCCCGTTTTTAATATTAGTAGGATTCATAGGAATAGTGTACTGTTTTTTATTGAAAGTATTTATTTATTAATAATTTATTTACTAAAAATATTGATTTCGTTGTTATAAGTGGGAATCCTATCGGTAGTAAGTACACAATAACATTTTTTCAAACACACAAGTGCAATGATTGTATTTAATAAATTTTAGATTTGCTTACAAGATACCAACCTATCAAAAAAGATACCAGAAAAATATTTCAGAAGAAATAAGCTGTGCCTTTGTAGGTACCTAATTGTTGTGTTGTTTTTCTTGTTGAACTTATTGTGTACATAAAATATTAAATAAATATCATACGTATTGTTTAGACCATGCAATACAATCATTGCTTTTGAATAATTGAACGCAATAGGCAAGGACCTTGCATTATGTAAATGGGCCTTAAGTAACAAACAACGCAGTGTACACGAAAACAGCGAAAAAGGAGTTTTCAACCTCTTTTTTATGTTTTTTATTATAACTTTCGTGAGACATTCTAAATTATTTATTATGTTTTCGGCTTACTCACGTAATAATGCTAAATATTATAGCTAAATAATGCTGCTCATGAATATGGGCCTCTAGCATGGCTTGAAACTAGTCGAGTATCTCTTTTTTATGTCATAGGTTGGCAAACATACTGACGGCTTACTTGTTCATAAGCCATCAGCGTCGTCCATGGACATTCTTAATACCAAAGGTGTTACTTCAATTGCGTTGCTTTTGAGTAATAAGGGATTTAAGGATTGGGTCTCCGGTAACCTCACTTACTCGGCGAAATACCACGTAAGTGTTGTTTACCGACGTTTTCTGAGAGGCCGTGGTATCACTCCGGTCGAGTTGCCCATTCGTGCTAATGCGTGGCTCTTCCAGACTTCTGCGACAACTTTAACCATTTCCTTTACAGCCTACTGGCAGCTAAATTAACAACATCGTAAATATTGAGCTTAAAACCTATTAAATTTAATTTCCGTATCAGTGACATGTAGCTGTAAACTTTCCTAATATTGTCCATTGTGTTACCTATGTAGTTGATTTAGTGTTGTACCGACCTACTGAATTCAAAATATTTGAAAATAGAAAGAAAATGTTATTTAATGGCATTTCGGTCACACAATAGGGGAAGGGGGAATTGCTAGTACTCCGAAATAGCTAAGCGTAACTTTGTTTTAGTACTCATGTAACGTATATTGATACTATTGATATTGAATACGCTCCATATATGTCTGATAATGAAAGGATTGTAATATACCGATTTGCATATATTGACCGAGTGGGAGGGTTGAAACGGGATCCCTTCAAAACACTTCCACTGTTGTAAACTATGGTGAAATTGGCAGATTATTAAATACATTTTCTTAAGAACGAAATCAGTGTGTCTATATTAACCGAAACGAAACCGACTGCATTTAGTTAGATAGTTTTTAAATATTTTATATCTCCCCACTATCTAAAATAAGGTTTCTGGTGAGTATATCCGAATGGACACTAGCTATTCCCTGGTATATTACTACAAAATTAAATAGAGGCCAATCAATCACATGTAACACCGTCATTATTATAAAATGTCGTCACTACATATCATAGTATAAAAAAAATCGCTTTCTTTGTATTGCCCTATATTTCTATGTACGCTTTAATCTTTAAAACTATTCTACAGATTTTAATGCGATTTTTGTCATAGATAGAGTGATTGTAGAGCAAGGCTTACATGTATAGTAACATTTATTACATTGTGACGAGAATTGATATCAGCATTGTGGGTCGCTAGTACTATATAAAATGAAAATACCATTATACATATATTTGAATGGTATTGTCATACGTAATATTTCATAGTCAGATGTTATTTATTCCAAACATACGTTTTTATGTATCTGTACACCAAAAGAACATACGATGTCATAAACAAATTTATCTTTCGCAATAAAAGTAATATGCTCACAAAACGTCGCTTGGGAGAAAATCTGCCGCTTATGGTGATTTTTTCTTTTCCTGTATGTGTCACTGTATTTCCTTTATAACGTTTAGCCATGGGATTTGTATTTCTTATTTATTCGTTAAAGGGAAACATAAAAAGTTTAGGGAAAGAATCAATGACATGTTGTTTTTCCTAGAAAATGTTGTCAGAGATGTTGTGCAGGATATACAAAAATAAATATTAGTGACTTTTATTTTGCGAATCTTCTATTAAATATCAAGTTCTAGCTTATAGATATTGATTACTATTTCTTGTTTGAATACCTTGTGATAGAAGATATACATAAATCTTTTGACCACCTCTTTCATACTTTGTGGCTGTTCTAGACAATTTTAAATAGTAAAAAATAGGTTGCACGTTTAGTCAATATTATACATTTTTGCAATATTACTTAACCCCTATCTGCTGACTGCACTATTAGTGTAGTGGCAACTGTATAATATGTAGATTCAATTATTCTCTGTGTGATCCACAAATTTTTGTTCCGGGTCTGGGTGCGATGTGTATTTGAAATTATGTTTATGGATGAACGTATAGGTACGTTTACGACACGAGAGAAGTCTCAGGGTACAAAGAACCATACCATACTTTAAATATGGACTAACAAACACGCATGCTATGCTGATATGGTTATACCCATAGACGCCCATAGCTCAATATAGCATAGGTTGTTTCCAGAATGTCTCTATGCCTGGGTCAAATTTCATCCAGATCCATCTAGCTGTTTTGGCGTGATTGAGTAACAAACATCTAAACATCCAAACATCGTAACTTTCGCATTTATATCTAATATTAGTAAGATATTCTTTACATATAGTTGCATTAGTCGGATGATGAAATGCTAAAAGAAACCTAAAGAGGTAGTGCAAAGATGTTGTTGACATGAAACTAAAATATAGAAGTAAAACAATTCTTACCAAAACGTGTATAACATGGCAGCATACGAATCCGATGAGTAACGTGCCTATGCTGCCTATAACCAGACCAGCGTTCTTGAAGGCTAGAGGCATCGCCAACACTCCGGAACCCAACGAGGCTTTTAAAAGGTGAGCGAGCGCACCAAAACTCCTGGAAATTGAAAAAAAAAAATATTATTAAATTTCATCTATATATAAATATAGGTAGGGTAAGGTAGAGTGGGTAGGGCAGATAGTGTAGTGTGGGAAGTGTAGTTAGGTGATTAGGTTGGGTAGTATAGGTAAATGACGGGAGCAGAGCCGCGGGTACGAGCTCGTTTTAAATAGATGGTGTATAGTAAAAAGTTAGTAATTGCATTTTGAAATAACAAAAAAATAGGCCTTCTCCTATTATGATTGAGTTGTTATGAGAACTATTACAGATCACGGGGTCGCGAGTTCGATTCCTGGTTCAGCCAATTCAGACAAAAAGTGTTAATAATACTGAGAATGTGACTCATCCCTTTGTAAAAGAACAGCTTGCCTAGATATTATTCCAGCAGTATTCAGGTCGGTTACGTCCAAATCTTCATTTGAATTAACTTTAGAGCGTAAACTAGTTTATATGACAGTACGTAATAAAATATTATGACTTGACACTTAATCCTACGGCCTGGTTACATATACAAACATATATATAAACATAGAATGCATTCATCTAATGTTACGACTCATTAACATTTGATATCATTTCCTCAATGAAACATGACAGTTCTGATACCCTAATCTTACACTATATACATATTATGTAGGTTTAGTACTTGAAGTCAGAAATTTTGCGTAGGCCTGACCTAAATCTAAATGAAATTTGCCTTAAGTATGTATGTACTTTGAGCTAAATTCCTTTGTAACACTATTCTCTCTCAGCCAAAAGGCTCCAAAGAGGCGACTGTCTGTATTTTTCTTTTTTCTCGATTTTTTTAAAGGGGCAAATCCTCTTGTATCCTTTCCTGCCCTGAGTGGGCTGAAAGCGAGTATCTCTAATAAGCCACCCCGTTCCTTTTCCTGGTCTTCTGCTCCGGGCCGAGGCTGCAGAACACTATTGAACTTGCATTAGTAGGCTGGATATCAGCTCTAGTGGGTCCCATCTTTGATCGTCTGGTGGCTCTTGGAATGATGCGCGGAAATTTTTATGGCCACAATTTTATTTACTTAATAAATGTGTCTCAGTATTTGGTGATTGCAATTAGTGGCATACGTTTTCCAGTGCTGTTACTTTTTTTTTTAGATAATGCAAAATATAATTTTCCTTTACTTAAAGTAGTGTAAGAGTTGATGTAACTTTAATTAATCCCTTTCCTATTACTACACCTTTATTCGACCTAAAGTTATAAAACCTTTTAAGTTCCAAACGTCCTTTTAATTTTCTAAACATGATTTACAGTTTACTAAACAAAATTCCTGTTTTTGTGGGTGTATGCACAATCCATGTTAAACAGATATTATAAAAGTCAAAATATACTTACGATGTGTTAGATGCTATAGGTCTGTGTTGAGATGGAATGTAAGGTTCCAAGTCTTCTCTAGATCCATTGTAAGCTAGCTCGATTCTGAAACAAATAAGTAAAATGTAAACAAACAGAAATACAGGACAAGGCTTCATAAACATTTATCTGACATTAGGACAATCTTTTTTTATGGCTACGCCAATAAAAATTACCATGTGAAGGTTAAAAAGTAATTAAATACTAAGAATTAAAGTAAATTGTTCAGTTAACTAATTATATGATTAACTAAAAAGAGTGTGATCAGTTGACGAGTTCAACCAACGTGAATTTAGCGAATTCTGAACTTTATTGTATTGTAATAAAATCGAAAATCAACATTAATCTGCCATGCGCATAATCTATCGGGAGTGCATTTCAAGTTGAACACAGGCTTACTGTCTTTCGATACAGGTTTGGTATGGGACTCAAGAATCACATTAAGTTCACCGAATACCCAGCAATAGCTAGCTAAGAATGCTGACACAGCAATAACTTGTGAACAATTTGTACACAAGTATACTGATCCAGAAAACAAGTAGAAAACAAGAAATACACGATTCTTCGCAACACAAGACAAGGCGAGAATTAATTGACAATCAGTAAAATGAAACACTATTTGTTGAAGTAGGTCAGTAATTCTAAAAGTTAATTGGTCATCTTAAAAGTGGATATAATTAGAAACTAATTACTAAAATACGACAGAATTATTTAGGTATTTAGTTCACCCTATTAACTCGCGATATCAAATATATGATTATGGAAATTAGGCTCTAAATTTTGGATCACAGGTCAATCAAAATTTACATATTATTAATTATTTAAACTCCGCCTAAACAAACACTTAATTTTCAAACAGGGGAACATTTTAATATTGCCATAAATACACCAAATTTTACCTTAACATTAGGTAAGGGTAATTCTTATTACAGGGTAATATTTATTTTTATACATTATACAACATTTTTTACCACAAATTTCGAGTAAAAATAGGTAAAGGTAATTCTTATTATGCAATATTCTTACCCTAATCCACAAAAATTGGTAACTTGATCACAAAAATCACCATACATTTTCAATGCACGACTATACCACTGTGGCATGTCGCTTGATTCTCAATGTTTAAACAATGTCCTCTCAAATATAACGAAGACCATATATTAGTTTGAAAGCTTATTGACAGGAATCATATGTATTAACCCCAATGTTTAGGCGTCAAACGTATTGATGAAATAGTTATTTACCATTGCATCATGCAATCTCATTCATATTTTATTTTATATTCTATTTTATACACGTGTTCTTGAGCTAATGGAGTGTTAATTATTTGTCATTAAGTTAAGAGTATTTTCTTTATTAGTCTCGCACGTGACTTTATGAGCGTAAAATATTGGGAATTGGTAATGATACGGTTGTGGGCAGAAGATGTTATAGAGGAGTAGAAAAAAGGATGTCTGGCTTGCTAAAAGACAGAAATATTTGAAATACCAGAACAACGGCGATGTCTTGGTAATATTGGCCATTGGTAAATTCATCTAAAAGAAAGTTATGTTAGTTACACATTTATAATTCAAAACTGATTTGGCTAAAAAGTCTTATAAGTCATGTTGAGAGAGAATAAACCTAATATTACTTTGCCCGACCGATATACAACCTAGAAAACACAACATGAACGACCAAAATCATTAACATGTTGAAACTAGTTATAAGAGACGTGACAAGTGACACGAGAAGTGGATCTAGTGTAGATGAAAATATAATATTAGTTTGCCCAACCGAAATCCAACCTCGAAACGGTATAAACGATCGAAACAATTAATATTTCTGTTTAATATAATAAAAGAATAATCGGCGTTGTGTTATAAATGCACAATGAGTTGTAAATTCATTTCGTATTAAATGTGATTACGGATTTAATATGCTATCCAAGTTAATATATGTGCATTACAGGCTTAATAAAATGAGAAAATCGAATGAAAGGAATTACAATGAGGTTTTCATGAGTACTATAATTGCACTACTTGAATTACTGTTCTCTTAATACCATGTTCATTATATTTACATTTGGAGCAAGGAAAGGACCATTATGACAAATTATAAAATTTAAGACATTATTTAAAATTCATTTTTTTTTGTCATGATTTAGGACCCGAAACCTGAACCTACAACTTTAGGTCCCATCTACAAGCCCAGTATGGTATCGATAATCGTTATCGCTTAAGAATGGTAACAAATAATGATAATTAAGAATTTTTGAGGTCACCGATAAGTTTCGTGGATAACAAATTTCACATCACATACATCAGCAGCCTGTAAGTGCCCACTGCTGAGCAAAGGCCTCTTCTATCACGGCGAAAGTTTGAGCATTAATCACTACACTTACTCAAATTGGATTGGCGATTTCAAACTTATAATTAATCATAAGTTTCCAAAAGATCCCTTCACCGTATGTCAGTTATGTCTAAATAATCATAGAAAGACATGTAACTCGAAATGAGTCAAATTGGTGCATGCCAGGTTTCGAACGCTCACCCTCATACATGAGAAGCGGACGCCTTAACCACGATTACACCACCACGACTTATACACAAAGTGCAAAGTGCAAATTTATTCCCATGCATTTGTTTTATTTCAAAAACGATAATGATTATCGATACTGAACTTGTCTAGGGGCCAGGATGTAGTTCTAGAATGACATTTATACATCAAAAAGTATTTAAACAAGGAGAACGAAATTGTTTCCTTATGAGTCAATGATCGCACATCAGCTGTCCATATGTAGTGCAAATTGTACAAGTCAACTGAGATCAATTCGTTATTCTATTTGACCTTGAACTAAACACCTTTAATATTTTATTGAATGGCTGTTATGTACCAGTAAACATTGTTATATAGGAACTGTGAATGGTTATGTAATATGGTTGGTTTACTGAAATCACTCATATTACATTACACAAAGCCAAAGCAAACTAGGCTCTGTGTGTACTGTTTTATAGGGTGGAAGTCAAATGAGCCGGACTATTACCTGATGGTTAGCGATAATCGCCGCCCGTGGATACCCGTAACAACAGAGGATCATAGGTACGTTGTCGACGTACGCTATTTTCTTGAATGGTTTTTTGAAGTGCAAAATTAACAAATGACTACTCCCGCTCTAGGTGGGGCAGGAGGGTGTGTAAGACTCTCACTGACTAAAAGCCACACCATTCCCTCTCCTGCTACAGTTGGGACCTCGGTACCAAAGTGCTCAAGTACCTACAACCCCAAGAATTCCTTGAAAGTTTGATTTTCGTATCGGTCCGGATATACCGTCGACGAAATTTAATTTCGTAGTTTTGCAGTTGAAAAAAGCAGTTGCTATTGTTGTTTTTATTTTATGTTTTGTATTTTTTTTAAGTATTCTAAATTCATTAGAGCGCCTTGAACATATCAGTATGCATTTCTGGACTCTACTTTACAATAGAAAATTCATTTACTTCAAGGATACTGCTGGCTGGCTTTCAGTCGATTTGTAGGTCAAGAGCAGTGGAATATCTAAACCATTCAAATAATTCAACAATCCATAGTTTATCTGTATTGTGCTTATTTAAATGAACAAAAGTTCATTGAACGTGAAAAGAACTAAAGGGTTTTTCTTTTCTTCTTGTAATTTACAATGCTCTTAAGCCACGCAAGTATGCTGTTCGAGATTATTAACACAGATAATAATCAGCTGAATAACTGACAATCTGTTTGTTTGTTTTAGTGAATATGGTCTAGTGACGGTAACGAAACTATTGTTAGGTTAAGACAATAGATAATAATTTGTCAACATTATGATATGAACTGACACGGTGTAACTTAAACGAAAAATATCTTAACTATTCCAATGATGATTGGAATTTCATAGCCATATTTGGAAGAAGAGAGAGAAGGAATGATGAAGGAACACATATAAACACATTTTATTATGTATTGTAATAGTATTAGTGGTACAAGGGATTGCCTATTGAATGTCAGAATGATAAAACAGTGGTAAATGAATCAGAAAAGATATCGGTTCCAATGTTGCGATCTTTTTTTGTTTTATTGGTGGCATGTGATGTTAATAAATTATACATATATTACTAGCTACTCTCACACGCGGTTTCACCCGCTGCTAGACTCCATTGGATCGTAGCGTGATGTTTTATAGCCTATAGCACTTAGGAACATTGTAGCTACCTATCAGTGAAAGAATTGTGGCAATCCGACCAGCGGCTCCTAAGATTACCCCCTACATACAAACTAACTTACAAATTTGACTTTTTTATAATATTAGTATAGATTATTAAATTATGGTACGTAAGCCCTTGTTAAGTCTACTTATTGAGGAAAATAGCATTATTTATATTTTATAGTCGATCAGTTGATGTACCTAAGTTACTTTTGTAAAGTGATGCATGCATTATTACATTTAAGTACTTAGGTACATAGATATGAAGATGAAGGTTGATCTCTATGTTTTTCTCATATTCTACAGGTTTAATGATGTTTAAAACTAATTTCTTTGTTCTAGCATTAAGAGACACGTGTTTAAGACAATCATTGTCTTGCTACTCATACCTAATTGTAAAACAATTAGTACCGCAAAGAAAACGCAACACGTGTTCGAAATGACATTGTATATTTTTCATACAAATATTAAGAACTATTTTCTGTACAAACGTGAAAGATAAGTTGCGTACACAGTTACTGCTCGGAGTAATAACCATTTGAGTAATGAAGGTGATAACTGGATTTAAATAACAGTGTTGTTTCGCCCGTATTTTTTAGTACGTCAATTAAAAATTGGCACAAACATCTATGATAATATTTTTATCTATAAGACAAGGTCTTGAAAGCAATAAGCAACATATAAATCTTAGTCACCCTTATGCCGGCTTAACACCCTTACTGTAATGGCTACAAAATATTAAAAAAAACGTTATTTCTTTACAGAGCAAAATATCCAAGAAACAACCAATAAGTAAAATATTTGCCATAGCATTTAAGGATTAAATTGGTTAATGTAATTTTTTTTTATGATATCTTATTATATTTAAGTATTTTTTTTTAATGAACAGTATATTACTAACAATCATTCTGGGTGCAACAAGGCCATTGCGGACCGATAGTCAAGGCTCGGATCCTCCTATTTTGAAATATGTAACAATTTTCTAAGTGTATTTAAAAACTTGAAGAAAATCATCGTGAGGAAACCTCAACTTTATAATTCCTAAATATGAAGTATTATCGTTATTGTCACATAAGTTTTCAATCACCAATTCACCTTGAGCAAGCGTTGTAAATAATGCTGAAACCATCTTCAGATGAGAGCAGGCCGTTTGCTCAACGTGGGCACGTATAGGTTAAATACAATTTTTTCTGTAGGTGTATAAAAACAAAAGACAAATTATCCAGAATGTGTTTTTTTTAAACAAGAAAAGTATATGTTCATCAAGTTCGTGGTTATCGTGTCTAGACTTGTAATAAAATGTGTACTGTCCGTCACCTGTGTTTACAACGTCATGCAATTTTAGTTTGCTCTGTACAAATTTTCGTCACATCTAATTTACCTTGGAACAATATTTTTTATGTCATGACGTTTTCGAGTGCATTTAAGTTTCAGTTCTTAAAACTGTAAGGGAAAATTCTGTATTTTTCATAGATTAGGTTAGCATTAAGATGTGCACGCATGCAAATATTTAAAAATCTTTAACATGAAAATGCACTCTCTCTCTCTCTCCTCTCTTCTCCTCATCTCGGAGGACCCAGGATGGGAAAAGTTGTTAAATAATTTTCAAGTTACACATTAGTTAATATACAAATGTGGTTTATTTTATGTGGTCCTTAATAAGTTAAGTAGGAAGTACTCGAATTTATTGATAGACAAAATAGTTTACGATAACAGTCAGTAGTCTGTCCGTCATGCGTCGGTCAGAAAGTCAGAACTGAGAGTGCTTGTCATCTACGCTAATGTGTTATGTGTGGTAATATTAAATGTGTGTAAATATTTCCGATAACAAGAATAGAATTAATAGAATACATTTTTAATAATTAATCGTTTGGTTGATCTTTACTTATAGTTCTTTCTGGGCAGCTTTTTGTTCATAATAATGGCTTCTCTCGCCCAGCGTGAGAGGTCTTTGTTTGCAAGCCTTTGCAAGCATACACACTTATGCTCATCAAGATTGATCACCTAGATTAAGTCTAGCTTGAAGCCGATTACCTTGATCGAAATCGATAGGACATTAATTCAGTACATAAGTGTAAAAAATAGCACAATTAAATACAGGACTTAAAAGAATTTCGAAAAATTAGACCTTAAAACAAGAAGCTGACCTTTTAAAATCGCTATCAATAAATTAACAGTCACTTACTTTGAACTATAGTTGTCTGAAACCACGTGAATGGGGGGCGCTGAAGGCTTTGTTTTCTCCATTTCGACGATCCAATTTGAGCTGTATTGTCAAGGTGCGAAGATTGAAGGTGGTTTGGCGTTGTGAGTTGTGGTGTGAATCATTCATCCATTGCCAATGATTACCTGTGAAAAGGAAGGAGGAAATGATTTATTGACGTCATCCAAATGGACCGAAGAGATTGCATTACATTGAAATTTTATGTAGGTTACTGTATGTTATTGATAAACACCAATTGATTGTGTTTTTGAATGGCTAAAAGTAAATGAGATTGTTCAGTAATAAGTGTTTAAAGATAATATTACTCTATGGCAGTCTATGGTATTTTTTGTACCCCATTCTATTTAAAATGATTGAAGGGTTCAGTAGTACCTACTGATTAAATTAAAAGTTAACAACATTTTTTTTTGAAATGATTTAGAAATTATGAAACTGAATTCTTCTTAGAATATGCATCAATCACTTAAAATGGGCAATTTGTGTGTGGCAGTTAGTGAAAATTCAATACATTTTCGGAAATCACAAACACAATAACTTTCTATAATTTTTTTATGAAATAGAGCGTCGTGACGTCAGATTTTTTCAATTCAAATAAGTGTCATATCATTAAATAAAAAAAAAAATACTAATATAAGTAGTATATCTTATAATTTATTAATAAAGGTATAAGTTTTTAAAGTATTTTTATGATTTTTAAAGTTGAAATTATTCCATTTTGACCGAGGAAACTACCCAATTCATTTCCAGTATCAACTACTAGGAAAACACATTGAGGAAAGAATATAATTCAACATTATTGTAGGCAAAACAAATCATTGTAATCAGAATACCTGAACCACAATGCAGTGACCATCCTTCAATGACGTTTGTACAGACACCAGCAAGCTAACCTACACCAATTTACCCTCATAATTTTCATTGAATTTTCAACTTTATAGCACAGTGATAAAGTTGAATAGGTAAAGATCTTGGGATGTTCAGGTATCACTTTTCATAGCCCTATAGAATAGATATTGTTGCGTGATTAAACACTAATTTGCTGCTAGATTTCCTTGCGTTTAGGTATTGTGGTTTTGGATTACCTAATTGTGTTTTGTACCTACTATTAGCAGATAAATAGTACATAGATATACTTATATCTTTTATATTCAATGAACACATAGGACGAACATTAGTTTCGTTTCTATATACCAAAAAAAAATGTGTAATATTTTTTTATGAGTATAAATGTGGAGTGATGGAGAGGGAGAGGGAGACCAAAGAAAATATGGATTGTGTGAGAAGTGATATGGAAGACAGGGGAGATAGTGATAGCGTGACGAGTGACAAGACAGAATGGAAGAAAAAAACATATTGCGCCGACCCCAAATAAAACGGAACAAGGGCAGGAAGATGATGAGATGATGATGAACTTTCAAAAGTATGTAATTGATGTTTTAATTTTAATATTAACGAAGGATTTAAAGTTTGTGTTATTTGTGTAGAGAATAATAAAATTGAATTATAGTTTGTTAGTAAGAAAGAGTCTGACACTCTTGATTTTTCCCTCTCATAGAAGCGCAACAAATGATAGAATTTCTCTAAGTAGATATTATACTAACTACCAAGGACATACTTATGTGATATTATTTTTAGTAAACAAACTCTGTATTAAAACCTATTTCAACATAACAAGAAACAAAATGACAAATATAATGTCGTCGCGATTTTTGGTTAATTTAGAATGTCTCACGATAGTTATTATAAAAAATATCTGTATCATAGCAATGTAATTGCATAATGAACTAACCTTACCTACAGTTAAGTTTGTAATTACCTAACATGGCACTGACATAGTAAATAAATAACAAGAGTTTCGTTAAATTGAACCTTGAAACTTTCGACCTCTTTTTAACGTTGAATGAATAACTTCACGTGTAGGTAAAGTACGGTGGTTAATGCTCAAACCTTCTTCGTGTGAGAAGAGGCCTTTGCTTAACGTCTATATGCTGAATTGTCGTTGTAACGTCCGAAACAACAGAAGATTTGCGAGTACGTTGTCAGCTGTTCGTATGTTAAGGATTTTGACGATTACGGCTCCAGTGACCTCAGACATATTTTTGCCATATCTACACAATGCCGACGTTGTTTCACGCATGTTTTCCGTAAGGCCGTGGTATAAATCCGGCCGAGCAGTGGGCGCTTATACGTGATGTGATGTAGAGTATGACAACTTTTTTGTTTGATGTAAAAACGGGAATTCTATTACTAAGAGTCCGTTGTCAGTTTACCTGCCACCAGGTTGTGATTTGTAGGTTGTTGAAATTTGGATAGATAATGTATTTCTATGGCCGATATAACAACAAATGTTAAAAACAATATCCAAATCCAAACTAATGTTATAAATTCGAAAGTAACTCTGTCTGTCTGTCTTTTCTTTGAGCCTAAACTACTGAACCGATTTCTGTGAAGTGAAATTTGGTATAGACATAGTTTGGAACTCGAGAAAGGACATAGACATTTCATACCTAAATTTCCTGTTCCTCTGCAGGAAGTCACTATTCCACGCGAACGAAGTCGCTGGTAAAAGCTAGTAACAAATATATGTATTTGCCTGCCGCACAACGTGCCGGGTGCGGTTCCGCTCAGACTTATCCTTTGTGTGATCCACCATTCCACCCAGAAGAGTAATATTCAGGAAATTAAAATAGAAGAAAAAAAATCCGTTTGTTTTACAAATAAAAGCATATATTATGCTCGTAGTTATTTAGTGGACCTTTTAATTTCCGTAGCCACTCAAAAGCATAATTATGGGCTAATCCAACCAAATTAACGATCGTAATTAATCTTTTTAATTAAAACCAGTCAATAGCAATGGTAAACCCTAAACGGTTAATTAGGCCTATAATGACTGGGGTGCGTGCCAGAAGACCTCCCCGTGGTGCACCCTGGGTGCGGGCGACAGTCTCCCTAACGGGATGGAGACAGGGTTGGATTGACTGTCGCCCGCAGCGAACTTCTGGCCGGGCGGAGAACCCGGTCGGGTTCTAGAGGCGACTTGCTCTGTGCTGGCATAGGGCCTGCGCCTCTGTGGGGGCGTTCATCCGCACGATCCTCTGGACCTAGCAGAGAACGTGGCGGAGGAGCAAGGGCGGCGCTCGTTGCGCACTCACCCTGCCAACGAGTAGCATCGGGGCACTAGTTGCGCCCGACTGCACCCGTCGATATCGTAATCCGGGAAGAGATCATGGTCATGTTTTATGACTCGGACCGGGACGAGGGTCTTGGCTTAACCGCCCGGACCGCGAGGAAGACAACCTCTATAAAAAATTCCTCCAATACTAAGTTCTGGTGCGCGGCGATGGTATGTATGGCTGAGGAGTAGCATCAGTCGTGAGCGCACCCCCAGCTAGGGGACCGGTGGACCCCCTGGTTGGGACACAAATGTACACTTACCCAGGGACAGGGGGCTCTCCCTGGGTGGACCTTTTATTTCCCCCATACTCGTGGGACCGATATGGAAGACACAAATATTAAAAAAAATAAAAAATTAGACGTGCAGGAGAAGGCAAGCGAGCACAGCTCGCTTGCATGTGACAGTGAGGGCCGAAATGGCTCCCGGGCTCGTGGAGAAGTGCCCAGCAAATCCCGGTTACGGGCCCCGGGGAGGAAGGAGTCGGATTCGGAGTCCGACTCATCATTGTCTGGTGTCGGCATCGCGCTGCGCCATCATAAAGAGCGGGGCGTTTTTAAACGTCCTAGGTTAGAGGATGGCCGAGAGCCGTCCTCCAACGAGCCGGAGGCCCCAGCCCCTAAAATCCCCACGGCTGCGAGGGGAAGGGGTAAAGGAAAGGGCTCCACTAGGGCAGTAGTTAGTCGCACTGAGCCAGTTGAGCGGCTAGCGGCGGAGGGGAGCGCCCTGGGAAGGGCCGCCCCCTCGGACTCGTCCGAGATTGAAGTGTCCGGCGGCGAGGGCTCTGTAAGCGAAGGCGGCGCTGAGAGCCTTCGCAATGAAGTGAAGGAAGCACTTCGTACGGTGGCTGGCCAGAAAACCCAGGCTGGCAGATACGGAGTGCTTCAACACGCCGAAGCCGCCATTATGTCGGCGGTAGCCCAGCAGAGGTCAACGGGGCGGCAAATGGCTGCTCTGCATAAGGAGCTAGCCGGGATGCGACGGGAACTGTCCCGATTGGTGGCTGCGAACTCGGCCTTGGAGGCTGAACTCCGAGCAGCTAAGGCAGAGCTCGCCACTGCTCGCGGAGGCCGTCCCCAACCGGCGCAGCCAACGGAGGCCGACTTTCTCGGCCTGATGCGGCGAGAGATGGCCGCCTTTCAACAGCGTTTTGACGCTCTGGAGGCTAGGCTCCTCCGACCCCCGCTTGCAGCTGGCTCTTACGCAACAGCAGCAGCAAAGCCTTCAACCAGCTGCGGCGCTCGGGCTGAGGCACCGGCGAAAAAGGGGGCAAAAGCGCCTACGCCGGCGAAAGCGCCGAAGGCGGCACCTGCGGCTCTGACAGCGCAAGCTCCAACTTCAGCTTCGGCGCCGATGAGTCGCAGGCGCAGGGGTGCAGCCGCTAGAGCTCCAGCCAGAGCGGCGCCCACCCCATCGGAGTTGTGTGCCGATGGCGAGTGGCAGGTGGCCGGGGAAGCGAGGAGGGTCGCTAAGGAGGCGAGGAAGCGCCGCAAGAAAGAGCAGCGGCAACGGCGGCAGCAGCGGCGCAAGGAGAAGCGCGCCGCGGCAATGCTCCTCGCCCCCAAATCTTCGGCTGTAGTGATTACACTACAGCCGGATGCGGCTAAAAAGGGGGTGACGTACGGGGACGTACTCAAAAAGTTGAAGGGGGCGGTATCTCCTGCGGAGTTCGGGGCACCCGACGGGTTCGCAGTGAGGGTCACTGCCACTGGAGCCCGTCTCTTAGAGGTCCCCGGCGCGGCCAGCGGGTCGTCCGCTGACGCCCTAGCCGAGAGGCTCAGGACGTGCCTTGCAGCGGACGAGGCTCGCGTGTCCAGGCCCACTAAATGCCTGGAGCTACGTATTATGGGCCTGGACGACTCTGTGACGGAGAATGAGGTGGCGGCCGCTGTCGCCAGGATGGGGGAGTGTCCTGTGGACCAGGTGAAGGCAGGCACCATCCGCCCGGACAGC